CTAGGCGCGCGCATTTTCGAACAAAAAACCCAAAAACGCATTTTTCGCGCATGCCCCGAATTCGACGCGTTTTTCCCACGAGTCACGTTTAGGCGGCGCATTTTCGCGCCTTTTAGAACACTGGTTTAAATTACTTGTTATTTGTCTCAACGATATCGTTATTAAGAAAGTCCATTTTGATCTCTATTAACTCTCAATTCGACTAACTTGTTGTATGCCAAGATCGAGTTTACATAAATTCTATGTGCTATTCTTCTTTTCTCATTTATTGTTTTTCCTATACGTCTCATGTGGATACAAAAGTTTATAAATGTGGAACCAAACTTCATAAATTCCTTTCGCACTTTTAATTGTTGTTATAACTATATCATTTTAGTTGTGGATGTATTTAGATAATTTTTGGATTGTATTTTACAATCAACATTCCCATTTTAATAAAAAATTATAAATTTAATAGATTCGATTTATAATTATTAAATTAGGGCCTCCCAAAACTATCTAGTAGATTTATCGAATTGATTTAAAGGATCCAAATGGAAAGTTATTAATAAAATTTCTTGTAAAGTAAAATATTCATATTTTTGAAAAATATTTTTATCAAAAGAAGTATTGTTAGGAGGGGGCAAGAAGGGAACCTCATTTTTTGCCCTTTTATATTGGACACAACTGACTAGCTGACTCCTCCTTGAAAGTAATCCTCTCAAGTTCCAACGTAAATATTATTTCTATTTTCCCGGCAGGAGTCAATTTTACAAATCGTCACTAACGTTCAAGTAAAATCTGAAAAAAAAAACCAATTGAGGTAGGTGGTTTCTTCAAACAATAAGGGTATGTGTTTAACTATTCAATCAAATGATATTGAACATGTTTCCCATCTCTTCTCGAGAAACAAGAGAGCTATTTTTTTGCAAAATTGTGTTCAATTTCATATGTGGCAATTCCGTCAAGTTCTCTTCCTTAGTTGGGGGAATAATCCTCACGAATCAGATTTTTTGAGGAAATGGTTTGTTTAGTTGAAAAAAATTCAAATTTCATGTTAGTTGAAAAATAAAAACCCACCAAAATCATAGGAATTCGTTTTTCATGAAAACAAAGAAAATACAGTTTAAAGTGGTTGTATCTTGAAATTTGGTTTACATTTCTACATTACAATCAAACAGCCAAAGTGGAATTCGTTTTTCTCATATGACATTTTCCATGAAAAATGTGGCAATCAAACAGGGCCTAAAGTTAAATAATAGTATTATATATTTAGAGCCTGTTTGGTACACATTAAAATGAGATAATGTACTTTTTTGAAGTGATGTGATGAAAAATATGTGGTTGAAAATAAAGGAAAAGTTATTGATGTGTGGTTGAAAATGAGTAGAAAAATGAAAATTAAAAAAATAATGTGGGTCAAACAAGGGCTTAGTTGTCCATTAAAATGATAATTTTTTCTACTATTGAATCTAAATTTGTTCACATTGTCAAAAAAAATTTAAAAAAAAAAAAATTTACCATACCAATTATCATTCGTTTGACTTTATTTTGCATGAAAGTTGTCGATAAAAATGATTTTTTTTTATACCATTGTGTCAGAATTTATTCTCATTGT